GAGAGAGTGCAGGGAGAGGAGAGAGTGCGCTAGGAGAGAGAGTGAGGAGAGAGAGAGCGCAAGGAGAGGAGAGCGAGTGCAGGAAGAGGAAAGAGAGGCCATGATATCCATAATGAGTGGAAGACTTTCCTCTATTCCAGGGAATTGCGAGGTGTCGGTGAGCACTTCCCCCACCCCTGGATCAGGAAGACCCCACAGCGGCACACAATCCACAGACAAGTCTCCGAGAGTCTACAAGAGACAATCGTACAATTCCCCTGAGATGTTACATTGTATACATTCCATCAGATGTTTCTTCTATCCATCCATCTGTGAATATGAGGTGCATATTGTTCCATCTCATAGACAATCACAGAGGGACTCGGTCACATCAGTCATTTTCCGGGTATTTGGCCTTTTTCCATCCACAGAGGAATTTGGATCATGTGACCTGATAAAGATCTGTAGATCCAAATACCAGCAGCAGAGCCGACTGAAGGGACGATTGTATTCAGAACATTGAAGGTCGGATCCATTCCCTTCCCTGGAACAGCCAGGACGCATTTTATTATTTTCTGTCTGGAACTGATCCAGATTTGTAGGGAGGAGAATCCGGAATCCAGGAACAGGGACTGGTCAGCACCTACAGGAAATCAACCGGCCTGTTTATTGCGACTAAATATTAACCAGCAGAAACCTTTAACCTCCCGGACTGATACACATAGAGGGTCAGTAAGTATCCCCCTTCTGATACACATAGAGGGTCACCTACCTCCCCCTCCCACACATAGAGGGTCAGCAACCTCCCCCCTTCTGATACACATAGAGGGTCAGCAACCTCCCCCCTTCCGATACACATAGAGGGTCACCTACCTCCCCCCTTCTGATACACAGAGGATCAGTAAGTATCCCCCTTCCGATACACATAGAGGGTCAGCAACCTCCCCATCCCACACATAGAGGGTCAGCAACCTCCCCCATTCTGATACACATAGAGGGTCAGCAACTATTCCCCCTTCCGATACACATAGAGGGTCAGCAACCTCCCCCAACCCACACATAGAGGGTCGGCAACCTCCCCCCTCCCACGCATAGAGGGTCGGCAACCTCACCCCTCCCACACATAGAGGGTCGGCAACCTCCCCCTCCCACACATAGAGGGTCGGCAACCTCCTCCCTCCCACACAGAGAGTCAGCAGGCTCACCCCTCCCACACATAGAGGGTCGGCAACCTCACCCCTCCCACACATAGAGGGTCGGCAACCTCCCCCCTCCCACACATAGAGGGTCGGCAACCTCTCCCCCTCCCACGCATAGAGAGTTAGCATTTTCACCCCTCCTACATATAAAGGGTCAGCAACCTCACCCCTCCCACATATAAAGGGTCAGCATCCCCCCCATCCCACACATAGAGGGTCAGCTGCCGCTCACCTTTGTACCATTTCAGATATTTTACGGAACTTGAAATGTTTAACCACTCGAGTCCCAGAAGATGGTGCTTCATTTCGGCAATGTTCAGCACTAGTGGCCTAAACAGACAAATTCTATATTGTTATATTTATCGGGACAGTTGGGGCTTTTATATGGATATATATATTTGTATTTCCCGGGTTTTTAATAGGAATAAAAAAGTAAACAAATTAGACACACAGGAGGAAAAAAGTTATATACTCTGCTCCAAAAAAAGAAAGGAAGACTTTGTAATCTGAGTCTAGCATCAAGTCGATTCTCTCTCCTGGGATGTGGATCTGGTCAGGTAAGTAGCAGAGGGGGTTGTTCATCAGTTTCAGCTGCTTTGGTGTTCATGAAATGAACAACAGGTGCACTAGATGGGCAACAATGAGACGGCCCCAAAACAGGAATGGTTTTACAGGTGGGGGCCACTGACATTTTTTCCCTCCTCATCTTTTCTGACTGTTTCTCACTAGTTTTGCATTTGGCTCGGGTCAGTGTCACTACTGGTAGCATGAGGCCATACCTGGACCCTACAGAGGTGACACAGGCAGTCCAACTCCTCCAGGATGACATCAATACAAAAAGGTTTGCTGAGTCTCCCAGCACAGTCTCAAGAACATGAAGGAGATTCCAGGATACAGGCAGTTACTATAGGAGAGCTGGACAGGGTGGTAGAAGGTCCTTAACCCATCAGCAGGACCGGTATCTGCTCCTTTGTGCAAGGAACAGGATGAGCCCTGCCAGAGCCCTACAAAATGACCTCCAGCAGGCCACTGGTGTGAATGTCTCTGACCAATCAGAAATAGACTTCATGTGGTGAGAGTATGCAGGCAGTTCCTGGAGGATGAAGGAATGGATACCATTGAATGGCCCCCACATCCCTCTGGGATGTCATGTTTCGGTCCAACCGATGCTGCCAGGTTGTACCTCAGACTGTCCAGGAGCTCAGTGATGCCCTGGTCCAGATCTGGGAGGAAATCCCCCAGGACACCATCCGTGGACTCATTAGGAGCCTCCTCCGATATTGTCAGGCATGCATACAAGCACGTGGGGGCCACACAGACTACTGAGGGCCATTCTGAGTTGCTGAAATGACATTTCACCAACATGGACTCGCCTGCTGCATCATTTCTTCACTTTGATTTTTGGGGTGTCTTTGAATTCAGTCCTCTGTAGGTCGATCATTTCCATCAATCGATGGGGCGTCCTTACGTTCATCACCCCGTCCATGTCAGTATAGAGATCCAGCAGGAGATTCCTCCCCATTAGGGTCTGATGGGTTTTCAAAGTCTTCCTTTCATTTTTTTTTGAACAGTGTATATATGGTATATGGGGTCTGTTAGTGGATACCAGATCCAGACCCCCCCTCCCCCAAACCCTGTGCAATTCTGCAGCAACAGATCGCTTCTAACAGTGATCTATTACTGGCTGCAATCAGCCAGCAACAAATCACCATAGCTGTGATCTACTGATGCAGGGAGAGGCTGGACAGAGCCTTCATGCTCAGCAGATGAGTCGTGACTCCAGTACACTCCTAATAGTGAGCACTGTGTGGAATCATTGTGCCGACATTCTCATTGATAATGTACTCTAATGGAACAATCTATGGAAGCATCTGAAGCCCATGTGTCATGATCAGGAGTCGGGCTCGGAGGCCAGTAGCTATAGCATTAGAGAGGCTCCCACCAACAAGCAGGTCACCTGAGGTTCAGGGTCAAAGTACTAACTGGTGTTCACCAGAGCTCCTGATGGTGGAGATGAGTTTTTGTGTTAGCACTAGATCACGGTCACCAGGAGGTGAGTAAGCCGGGGTTCAGTAGCAGATATAGCAGGTTGGGATCAAGCAGAATCATAGTCTGTAAACAAGCCAAAGGTTGGTAACACGTGGTTGAAGGTTGGGATCAAGCAGAAGCACAGTCGAGGAACAAGCCAAACGTCATTAACAAGTTGTTTAACCCCTTCCAGTCCGGACACTTTTACCCCTTCCTGTCCAGGGCAATTTTCAGCTTTTAGCGCTATCACACTTTGAATGACAATTGCGCGGTCATGCAACACTGTATCCAAATGAATTTTTTACCATTTTTTTTGAGATAGATAAAGCTTTATTTTGGTGGTATTTATTCACCACTGGGATTTTGTATTTTTTTTGCTATGTATTTTTTTTGCTATGTAAATGAAATGTCCAAAAATTTTGAAAAAAAGTGTTTTTTTTATAAAATTTTGCAAATAAATAATATTTCATCATAAATCTTAGCCAAAATTTATTCCGTTATCTTTTTAGTAAAAAAAAAAAAATCCAAATTAGTTTATAAGCAAAAATTATAATTTTTAAACATTTTTTTTTACATTTTTATTTTATTTTTTTATATTATTATTTTTTTTTTTTATTATTATTTTTTACATACTGTCACCCTAGCAGTACAGTGTCACCATGGTGACACTGTACTACTTTTGAGGGGTGATGAAGATTTTTTTTTTTTTTTTTTACACTGCTTTTACACCCATATAGGATGTAAAAGCAATCATTTCTCTTTCTCTCTGTCTGCATTCTTGCACTCATTGAGAAGAACTGAGTGAGCTGTGATTGGTCACAGCTTGTCACATGGTACAAGGCTTTTGTGAATAGCCTTGTACCATGTGACCTCTGTGATCATTCACAGATTTCACACATAGTAAGCAATGATGTCAGAAGTGACATCTTGCTTACTACTTTGCATGTGATCACTGATTGGCCAATCAGTAATCACATGATCGGGACCTCGTACAGAGGTCCCGTCCGACGATCGGTGTTTCACTGTGTCCGGAGGACACAGCGGGCACCGGATCGCAGTGCTGCACGCTCCCAGGGAGCGCGCACAAGCAGGGTGCAGGGAGGCCGTTTATAGACGGCCACCCGACCCTGCAGTGCCACCCTCCGGCCGTTTATATACAACGGCCGGTCGGGAAGTGGTTAAGGTAGGTGTCAAGCTAAAGTATAGTTGAGGAACAAGCCAAAGGTCAGTAATGAGAGGTTGCAGGTTGGGATCAAGCAGAAGCGAGTCAATGAACAAGCCAAAGGTCAGTACGAGTGGTAGATGGATACGGATGTCAGCAGGCATGACAAGAGCAAGATATTGGCTGGAGAAAGCACAATAATCTAGCAGACAGGAAATGCAAAGCCATGTTTTAAATCAGGAAGTTCATGGGAGGACCAAAGAGTTCAAGGTTTACCAAAAATCAAGAGACAAGGCAAGGAAGTCAAAACAATTAGAGAGGGAGATGTCCAGCATCTCAGGTGGCTCAGCAAGAAGAGTTATTGCCAGACACAGCTGAGGTCCCAGGTTCAGTTCCTGGCCCGGACACTATGAGTGGATCATTTCAGGTCCTGGGCTTAGCATTGGGTCGTGCCTGTCATAGCCGTTGGCTACAGCACTAGTTCCTGCAGGGGTTCCACAAGAAGTGCCAAATCTGGTGCCATTTTTAAACGCCACCAGGATTCAAAATTTAAAGAAAATTTTAAAAATGGTGTTCTAAAACCTTTGACCAGAAGTGACTGAGCTGCTCTTTGTTTCATGTTGCAGTACATTATGGCTGAACCTCCTGCTGTTCCCCCAGAACTGGAATGTCTGCTTCAGGTGAGTTATTTTAAATGGATTTTTACATATTTAATAAGTCTGAAAAATGACCAAAGACTGACTTCTTGAAATTCCAATATTACCCAGCTGCCAACATGTCACTGTCATTCCAAACCTACATGCCAGCCAACCAGCCAGCCTCAACACTACCCAGTCTTAACCATACTAACCTACAGACTCCAACCCTGTCACTCCAAACCTACATGTCAACCAACCTCAACACTCATCAACCTTACCCACACTAACCTATAGACTCCAACCCTGTCACTCCAAACCTACATGTCAACCAACCTCAACACTCATCAACCTTACCCACACTAACCTACAGACTCCAACCCTGTCACTCCAAACCTACATGTCAACCAACCTCAACACTCATCAACCTTACCCACACTAACCTACAGACTCCAACCCTGTCACTCCAAACCTACATGTCAACCAACCTCAACACTCCTCAACCTTACCCACACTAACCTACAGACTCCAACCCTGTCACTCCAAACCTACATGTCAACCAACCTCAACACTCCTCAACCTTACCCACACTAACCTACAGACTCCAACCCTGTCACTCCAAACCTACATGTCAACCAACCTCAACACTCCTCAACCTTACCTACACTAACCAACAGACTCCAACCCTGTCACTCCAAACCTACAGTCAACCAACCTCAACATTCATCAACCTTACCTACACTAACCAACAGACTCCAACCCTGTCACTCCAAACCTACATGTCAACCAACCTCAACACTCCTCAACCTTACCGACACTAACCTACAGACTCCAACCCTGTCACTCCAAACCTACATGTCAACCAACCTCAACACTCCTCAACCTTACCTACACTAACCAACAGACTCCAACCCTGTCACTCCAAACCTACAGTCAACCAACCTCAACATTCATCAACCTTACCTACACTAACCAACAGACTCCAACCTTGTCACTCCAAACCTACAGTCAACCAATCTCAACACTCATCAACCTTTACCCACACTAACCAACAGACTCCAACCCTGTCATTCCAAACCTACATGTCAACCAACCTCAACACTCCCCAGCCTTACCCATACTAAGCTACAGACTCCACCCATGTACCTCATACCTAAATATCTGTATCCCGCCACCCCTCTCTGCCAATCCTTCCACTGGCTTCCAATTGCCCAACGCATAAAATTCAAATGACTAACATTGACATACAAAGCTGTTCATAACACTGCCCCAAACTACATCACCGACCTGATATCCATTTACCACCCAAAACGTACTCTCCTCACAAGACCTCCTACTTTCTAGCTCCCTGGTCTCCTCCTCCCATGCCCGTCTCCAGGACTTCTCCAGGGCTTCCCCCATCCTCTGGAACTCACTACCCAAATCCACCAGACTGTCACCTACCCTCCTCACCTTTAGGCACACCCTGAAAACCCATCTCTTCAGGGAAGCCTACCCCGCCCTCACCTAATTGCCGATCACCTCCACTCTTCCTACCACTCCATCCCCCACAGCTATTTCCTCCTGTACCACTATCCCCTCCCTCCTAGATTGTAAGCTTCAAGGAGCAGGGCCCTCAAACCCCTGGTGTATTGTTTTGTATTGTTACTGTGCTGTCTCCTGTACTGTCTCCCATTATATTGTACAGCGCTGAGCAAACTGTTGGTGTTATATAAATGCTGTATAATAATAATAATAATAATAAATGGCAACCAGTTTCAATGCTGCGCAACCTCAATCACACTAACCAAGAGGCTTCAATCCTGTCACTCCAAACCTACATGACTACAAGTTTCAATGCTGCCCAACCTCATTCACTCTACCTAAGAGACTTCAACCCTGTTATTCCACACCTACATTATAACCAGCCTCAATATTCCTCAACCATACCCATACTAACCAAGAAGATCCAACCCTGTCACTACAAACCTACGTTGTAACAGGTCTCACCACTCCTCATCCTTAACCATTCTCACCAAGAGACTCAAAAGCCTGTCAGACCAAACCTGCATGGCAACCAGCCTCAACACTTCCCAACCTCGGCAACACTAACCAAGAAGATCCAACCCTATCACTTCAAACATTCAGGACAACCAGTCTCAACACTTCTCAACCATACTAACCAAGAGACTCCAGCCTCACCACCAACTAGCTGCAAACATACACTATATTGCCAAAAGTATTGAGACACCTGCCTTTCCATGCACATGAACTTTAATGGCCCCCAGTCTTAGTCCGTAGGGTTCAATATTGAGTTGGCCCCGCCCTTTGCAGCTATAACAGCTTCAACTCTTCTGGGAAGGCCATCCACAAGGTTTAGGAGGGTGTCTATGGGAAGGTTGGACCATTCTTCTAGAAGCACATTTGTCAGGTCAGGCACTGATGTCGGGGGAGGAGGCCTGGCTCGCAGTCTCCGCTCTAATTCATCCCAAAGGTGTTCTATGGGGTTGAGGTCAGGACTTTGTGCAGGACAGTCAAGTTCCTCCACCTGAAACTCACACATCCATGTCTTTATGGACCTTGATTTGTGCACTGGTATGGAAGAGGCCATCCCCAAACTCTTCCCACAAAGTTGGGAGCATGAAATTGTCCAAAATGTTGCCTTAAGAGTTCCCTTCCCTGGAACTAGGAGGCCAAGCCTAACCCCTGAAAATAACCCCAAACCATAATCCCCTCTCCACCAAACTTTACCCTTGGCACAATGCAGTCAGGCAGGTACCATTCTCCTGGCATCCGCCAAACTCAGACATGTCCATTGGATCCCAAGACAGAAAAGCATGATTGGCCACTCCAGAGAAAACGTCTCCACTGCTCTAGAGTCCAGTGGCGGTGTGCTTTACACCACTGCATCCAACGCTTTCCATTGCACTTGGTGATGGAAGGCTTGGATGCAGCTGCTCGGCCATGGAAACCCATTCCATGAAGCTCTCTACGCACTGTTGTTGGGCTCATCTGAAGGCCACACCAAGTTTGGAGGTCTTTAGCTACTGACTCTACAGACAATTGGCGACTTCTGTGCACTGTGCGCTTCAGCATGCGCTGACCCCGCCCTGTCATGTGACGTGGCCTACCACTGAGTGGCTGAGAGGCTGTTGTTCCCAGTTGCTTCCACTTTGTTATAATCCCACTAACAGTTGAGCGTGGAATATTTAGTAGCCAGGAAATGTCACGGATGGACTTTTTGCACAGGTGGCCACCTATCACGGGACCACGCTTGGAGTCACTGAGCTCCTGAGAGCGACCCATTCTTTCACCAATGTTTGTAGAAGCAGTCTGCATGTCTCGGGGCTTGATTGCATACATCTGTGTCCATGGAGGGGATTGCAATACCTGAATCCAATGATTTGGAGGGCGGGCCCAATACTTCCAGCAATATAGTGTATAAACTTCTAGATTTAACCCCATCTCTCTAATCTACAAACCAACAGCTTTAACTCTCCCCAACCTCAACCATACTAACCAACACCAAAACAACAGAACTTTCCAAACTGGATCTACTAGGGCTTCCAATTTCAACCCTACAAACAAAACCCTTTTTTTCTTTTTACTAATCCCTTTTTTCTTCCAACTCTACAAGTTAACCAATCCTCAAACCACTCAAATAGTCTTTATTAATTCAAGTTGGACATCCAAATTGGAAACCTGCACCTTCTCCCTTCCATTTTTTTTACCTTGAATAGAGGTCCAGTCCTCATTTGTCTTTCCTTCAGATTAATTGCAGAAACACGTGGGGAAAGGGGGAGGACAGGAGACCCAAAGAAGTGTTGGGTTGTTTCCTCTCTGTACCAGGTTTGGGACTACATGACCAAGCCATATGAACAGCTTGAGTTAGGGTTAAGAAGCAGCAAAATCCATAGCACCATAGCCATGAATACAAAGCTCTCAAGGTCCTACAGCTAGCATAGGCTCCACAACAGGATACCAGAACTCCAAGGACCATTCTAGAAGGTTGCTGTAGATATTTAATAGGTTGTGTTACATAACAGATTGGGTACAACCTCCTCACTGACCGGACAGCTGTTGAATGTGAAAAGTTACCCCATTATAGAATTATACGTAAATCTCAAAACTGGCTGGCAAATAACACTGTATAAGAGAGGAAAAAACAGCTTGGGGCACAGGACACCATGGACTTGGCAGACGCCAGATGAGGGACAGAAGATGCTTAAAGTCTTCACAAACAGAGCCAATCCCACTTCAAGCCAAGCCCACATTCTGTGAAATCCACTCCTGAATGCAAGACATTAGCGGGTTCAGGGGAGAGGTCATAACACTTCAGTCAAGGACCAAGCTTCACCCAGCTTCTCAGGTTCTCCAATAAGGCTGAGGATCCTTCATAGTGCTTCAATCACCTTGATCAGAATACCAGGCCTCAGACCTAGATCTCTCTCCAGGCCCGTGGTCACCCTCCTCAAGCAGCAAGCCTAAGAGGTTCCAACAGCCACCAAAATCCCTCCCCTAGGTTGGAGGTCTAAGGGAAGTTTACTCAAGGCCACATCTGTCTATTTATAGCTTCTCTCATCACGCACCACTGCCAATAAACCTTCTTGTAGTAAATATTCATGATTCTGTTAGTGCATCCTCTTACTCTATTGCCAGGGACACCCCCAGAAGCAGGTAGAGATACACAATAACCAGAGCCCTGGAGACACCAAAGAAAGCTACACTATCAATCCGGCTCAGGCTAACAGCCCAGCAATTTAAATAGGCATTCCTGCTCAAGCCAGTGTCCCTACAATATGGATGCCACTTTCCCACCCTACATTGCCTACATACAACCGAGGATCTGCAGCAGAGACTCAGCATGCATGGATGGACAACCCCAAGACCTTCTATTACCAATGCTTGTCATGACTAAGGCTGGTGCTGTGATGTAACACTACATTCCCTTGTAATACTGGAAGGGCAGCCCACAGACCAGTGTAGGCAGCACTGACAGACCTCAGCAAGTCCTAGGTAAGCAAGGCCTAGGTCAGCAAGTCCAATGCAATGGAGGAAGACACACTGTTGGGTATTCTGCTCCTTGTACGCGTCCATTTCCATATGTCCCAGTTTTGGTCCAGTAATTGTGGTGGCAATGCGGGTGTTTTAGAGATGTATGATGAAAATAACAATGAACAATATTTATTTTCTGTTATTTTCAGGTCAGCGAACTCCGTGTCAAGCCAACAAGTAAGTTGTTTTTTGCTGTGGATGAAACACGAACCACATTTTACTATTTGATGTTTTAGGTCTGTATGTTGTCCAATATTTGCTCCCCTGACCAAGCAACCACAATATGCTTCATTGTTCTTCAGCCACTAGCAGTATGGATTACCAGAGAGGGGGGTTTACAATTATTTAATACTATGGAGGCATAAGTGGTGTGAATAAAGAGATGAGGGGGGATGGGTGTTGTGATATTTGGCTATCTATAGATCCGTGTAGCCGTGTCACGTGCCCCTCACTCACTGTTACACTCTAACACCTCTTACCACTGTCATTTCAGTAGAGAGTCTCAGAGGATTTCAGCGCTGCTGTACCTACGACCTGCTCGGACCTGCAGGCAATCTAATGTTCCAAGGCATTGAGCAGCGTGAACTTGGTGGTCCCCGGCTGGAATTAAAGGTTAAGAACACACAGGAGAATAATGTGCTGAATCTCCATGTACTCTCCAGGATCAAAAGCTGGGACACTAAGGTAAGAAGATGGAAGACATAAGATGATGACTAACATGAATAGTAGCATGATATCCTGGTGGGGCACAAGATTAATCCACCAGGACCCAAACCACATGGTCATCTCGCACTAGTGAGGTAAAAACACAGTTCTCTATGGCAGGTGGGATACATGATATGGTCCTTTATGACTAGTAAAATGGAAGACCAACATAATCAAAGTAGGGGAGACACAAACCTTGGCCGCTACAGACTGGGGTGATATAGGACATGTATCTGGAGGACTGGTTGGCTACAAGACATGGTCCTTTAAGACTTAGAGAAATACAAAACACGGTTCTCTAGGACTTGAAAGGTGCAAAACATTGATGTCTAGGACTAGTGAGATACAAGACATGGACCTCAAGCACTGGTGAGATACAAGATATAGACTTCTAGCTCTGGTCAGATATAAGATATGGACTTCTAGCTAGAAGACTTGAACCTCTAGGAATGGTGAGATATACGGTAAGAGATAGACTTCTATAACTGGTGAGATGCAAGCCACAGACCTCTAGGATTGGGAGATCAAGACCTGGACCTTTAGGCTTTTAGGGCTGGTGTCATACCAGAAACAGACGTCTAGGACTGGAGTGATATATGTCATGTTTCTGTGGAACTGGTTATGTACAGAGCTTGGAACTGGAGAAATACAAGGTCTGGACTTCTGGAACTGTAAAGATAGAAGACATGGACCGCTAGTGTTGGCTAGGTTGAAGAAATGGACCTCTAGGGTTGGTTAGATACAAGACATGGACCTTCAGGATTAGTGAAATGCAAGACATGGACCTCTAGGACTGGTGAGATACAAGACATGGACCTCTAGACTAGTGGTATACAAACCACAGACCTCCAGAACTGGAAAATCAAGACATAGACCTTTAGGTCTAATGCCATATAAGAAATGGACATGTAGGACATGGAACTGTAGAAGTCATATGATGCAAGTTATTGACCTGTACAACTGGGGAGATGTAAGACCTGGATCTCTATGACTGGAGAGTTTTAGGACATGGAACTCTATGACTGGGAAGAGGTAAGACCTGGACCTCTATGGCTGGAGAGTCATAGGACATAAACCTCTATGACTGGGGAGAGGTAAGATGCAGACCTTTATGACTGGGGAGATGTAGGACATAGACCTCTATGACTGGGGAGATATAGGACATAGACCTCTATGACTGGGGAGATGCAGGACATAGACCTCTATGACTAGGGAGATGCAGGACATAGGTTTCTATGTCTGGGGAGATGTAGGAGACAGACCTCTATGACTGGGGAGATGTAGGACATAGACCTCTATGACTGGGGAGATGTAAGACCTGGATCTCTATGACTGGAGAGTTTTAGGACATGGAACTCTATGACTGGGAAGAGGTAAGACCTGGACCTCTATGGCTGGAGAGTCATAGGACATAAACCTCTATGACTGGGGAGAGGTAAGATGCCGACCTTTATGACTGGGGAGATGTAGGACATAGACCTCTATGACTGGGGAGATATAGGACATAGACCTCTATGACTGGGGAGATGCAGGACATAGACCTCTATGACTAGGGAGATGCAGGACATAGGTTTCTATGTCTGGGGAGATGTAGGAGACAGACCTCTATGACTGGGGAGATGTAGGACATAGACCTCTATGACTGGGGAGATGTAGGACCTAGACCTCTTTGACTGGGGAGATGTAGGACACAGACCTCTATGACTGGGGAGATGCAGGACACAGACCTCTATGACTGGGGAGATGTAGGATATAGACCTCTATGACTGGGGAGATGTAGGACATAGACCTCTATGACTGGGGAGATATAGGACCTAGACCTCTTTGACTGGGGAGATGTAGGACATAGACCTCTATGACTGGGGAGATGTAGGACATGGACCTTTATGACTGGGGAGATGTAGGACATGGACCTCTATGACTGGGGAGATGTAGGACATGGACCTCTATGACTGGGGAGATGTAGGACATGGACCTCTATGACTGGGGAGATGTAGGATATAGACCTCTATGACTGGGGAGATGTAGGATATAGACCTCTATGACTGGGGAGATGTAGGACATGGACCTTTATGACTGGGGAGATGTAGGACATGGACCTCTATGACTGGGGAGATGTAGGACATGGACCTCTATGACTGGGGAGATGTAGGATATAGACCTCTATGACTGGGGAGATGTAGGATATAGACCTCTATGACTGGGGAGATGTAGGACATAGACTTCTATGACTGGGGAGATGTAGGACATAGACCTCTATGAATGGGGAAATGTAGGACATAGACCTCTATGACTGGGGAGATACAAGTCTTAATCCTCTAGGACACATGGGGGTTTATTTACTAAAGCTGGAGAGTCCAAAATCAGACTCCCTTCTGCATAGAAACCAATCAGCTTCCAGGTTTCATTGCCAAAGCTTCATTGAACAAGCTGAGGTTAGAAGCTGATTGGTTTCTATGCAGAAGGGAGTCTGATTTTGGACTCTCCAGCTTTAGTAAATAAACCCCATGGGGTCAGAAGACATGTGTAAAAAGCCTAGATCATTACCAACAGATTGCTGACCTGCTGGATAATCCAAGAGCTCAAATTGATGGATATTGTGACCCAACTGCTGCGTGACCTCTTGTGACAAACTATTCTTAAAGTTGCAGGTCTCCAGTTCCTCTGGGCAGCTCCTCGGATGCATAGAAAAAGAGTGGAAAAGTTTCTCTTCACGTTTTGACATCTTGGACCCATCGGGGGATATTTGCCTGAAGGTGAAAGGACCAGGATGGGGGAATCCATGTCTGATGCCTATTATCAGGTCAGTCTAATAGTCATGACCATATTTCATTAATGTCACCCAGGAGGATTCCTGGGACTGTTGTTTACATAGGATCATTGACGGGGAATCTGTCATTTAGTAACAATAGTGGGTCAGGGAAGCATCTTCATGGGTCATCATGACGTTGAGGAAATATTATCCGGCAGCGGGTCCTCATGATTAATGATGGATCTTCATAGCTGGGTGACATGATTGAAGTTAGATTTAGATTGAGGGGTATTTTTTTTTTGTTTGTTTTTTGCAATAAAGGACTTTTTCTGTTTTTTTTTTACTCATTTCCCTGTGCGGGGTACTATCTGGGGGCCCCATTATTATAAGGGGGGGCTTCAAGATTTTGATAACCCCCTTTCTGCAGACCCTCACATCCATTTCGGGGGACACCAGGTGGGAATAGGTCTTTGTCCCTCAACATGGGGCCAAGGTGCCTTGCAAGTGGGGAAGTATTTGATGCCCCCTCCCCTTGCAAGCTACCCCAAACCCCCCCCCCCCCAATGTTAAAAGGCATGTGGCCTGGTTTGGATCTGGAACCCTACGCCATTTTTTAATGTCACTTTTAAAGGACAACATCATACGGTTCCACAACTTCATGTGCAGGTTATGGACATCTCTCAAAGGAATTCCCTGTGACTCATTATCAGTAGGAGGTTTATGAATTCATCTATTTCAACTAGAACCCCCCTTTCCCCCCCACACCCCAAAAACATTGAGCTGCATTGATGTGACCCCCACCTCTGTCTATAAGCTGTGTATCTCCTCTAGGTGACCCCCTAGGTGCCCCTGTGTTCTCCCCAACAGGTGCTCTCCGCTGACAAAAAAACGAACCTTGGCAGCATCATGCGTGAACATCGAAGCTTCCAAAAGGACAGCTACACCGTCAGTTTCCCGAAGGACCTCCATGTCACCACGAAGGCCTTGTTGATGTCCTGCACCCTGTTCATTGTGAGTCTGCACATGGTCATTCCGTCTTGTCTTCTTCTGTATCTCTTACTCATCTAATGTCTTTATTTCGGTCTTGTTTTTTTGATAAACATTTTTCTGTATCTGTTGTACATCTGTCTACGTGGTATCTCCGTCCTGGATGGATGCCCTTACTGATAATTCTGGGAGGACCCCCACTTGTGTGTGGTGTGTGGGTGATCCTGGAGCCCCTTTAATATGTCTCTCTATGGCTCCTACACTCTCTTAAAGAGAACCTGTCTTATAGAGAACCCGCCCCATGTGATAGAAGATGTTTCGTACTCTCCCTTTCAGTGGTGAGTCAAAACGTTCTCTTTCTAGGAGAGCTCCAGGTCCTGATGTTATTCGACTCTATCTGGTTTTTTTTTGTTTCGGATAAATTCGTTATGCTACACATTTCGTTTCATGGATTTGTTTTGGAATTCGTTTCGTTAATTCATTTTCTAACGAATTCCAAGTTTTCAGAACAATTAAAATTCAAATCTGTTGAAAATGTATCGACCGATCCGAATTCTGTCTGACGAATAGATGGTTGTTCGGGAGAGGGCCACACCAACAGCGGCCAGCGGGTTTCCCAACTGGCAGCTGAATGTAAACAAAATAATGGCAGCAATAAAAATAATGAAGAAAGAAAACAGTGTGGTGTCCCCCCCCCCCCCCCTCCAATCCATTCCAAGCCCTTATCCGAGCCAGCAGCCCAGCAGGTCAGGAAAGAGGGGTGTGCGAGCACCTCCCCCTCCTAAACCATACCAAGTCACATCCCCTCAACATTGGGGGGAGGGTGCTTTGGGGTGGGGGGGCTCCTTCCTAAAGCACCTTGTCCCCAAGTTGATGGAGACAAGGGCCTCTTCCCCACCATCTTGGATGGTGTTTGTGGGGGTCTGCGGGTGGGGGGCTTATTAGAATCTGAAAGCCCCCTTTAACAAGGCCCCCAGATCCTGCCCCCCCTTGTGAATGAGTAGGGGTACATCTAATACCTCTACTCATTTACCAAAAAAAGGTCAAAGTAAGTAAAACCACAACAATTTTTGTCCTTTAAGAAAAAAACATAAAAAAGCCGATTCGAATGAAAAAAAACAAAACCTTCCACCTGCAGAGTATGACTGTTCCCACCCAGGGACACAGCCGGGTGACAGGTAAACACAGGGGCATAGCCGGGTGACAGGTAAACACAGGGACACAGCCGGGTGACAGGTAAACACAGGGGCATAGCCGGATGACAGGTAAACACAGGGACACAGCCGGGTGACAGGTAAACACAGGGGCATAGCCGGGTGACAGGTAAACACAGGGGCATAGCCGGGTGACAGGTAAACACAGGGGCATAGCCGGGTGACAGGTAAACACAGGGACACAGCCGGGTGACCCTGCCCCCATGTCTAGCTGTTATTGGGCTAGTGTCACTCCCGAATAACAGATAAATTGGGGGGGGGGGTCATGTGGTGATAACCAATAAGGAGGAGACTGGGGGGCAGGGTCACCCAGGTAACCCCGCCTCTATGTTTACCTGTCATTCGACTGTGTTTCTGGATGGGAATAGTTGTGTTCAGCAGGAAACGTGTTTTTTTCAGGTCAGGTTGGCTGTTTTAATTATTTATTTATTTTAATAAACGACTTTGTTGTGTTTTTACTGAATTAGACCTTTTAATTTTGTGAATGAGTAGTATGGTGTGTATGTATGTATGTATGTATGTATGTATGTATGTATGTATGTGTGTATGTATGTATGTGTGTATGTGTGTATGTATGGTGCCTCCACCATCCTCCGTCTGATTGCCTTCAGTCTCTGATATGATGTCCTGTACGGTGCCTCCACCATCTGTGGTCTGATGTCCTGTACGGTGCCTTCACCATCTGTGGTCTGATGACCTGTACGGTGCCTCCACCATCTGTGGTCTGATGTCCTGTACGGTGCCTCCACCATCTGTGGTCTGATGACCTGTACGGTGCCTTCACCATCTGTGGTCTGATGACCTGTACGGTGCCTCCACCATCTGTGGTCTGATGACCTGTACGGTGCCTCCACCATCTGTGGTCTGATGTCCTGTACGGTGCCTTCACCATCTGTGGTCTGATGACCTGTACGGTGCCTCCACCATCTGTGGTCTGATGTCCTGTACGGTGCCTTCACCATCTGTGGTCTGATGACCTGTACGGTGCCTCCACCATCTGTGGTCTGATGTCCTGTACGGTGCCTTCACCATCTGTGGTCTGATGACCTGTACGGTGCCTCCACCATCTGTGGTCTGATGACCTGTACGGTGCCTCCACCATCTGTGGTCTGATGACCTGTACGGTGCCTCCACCATCTGTGGTCTGATGTCCTGTACGGTGCCTTCCCCATCTGTGGTCTGATGACCTGTACGGTGCCTCCACCATCTGTGGTCTGATGACCTGTACGGTGCCTCCACCATCTGTGGTCTGATGACCTGTACGGTGCCTCCACCATCTGTGGTCTGATGTCCTGTACAGTGCCTCCACTCTCCTTAAACTGATGGCCTGTATGGTGTCGGGATTAGTGTCAGGGGGTAGGGTTGGGATTAGTGTCGGGATTGGTGTTGGGATTAGTGTCGGGATTGGTGTCAGGATTAGTGTCAGGGGTAGTAGTATCGGGATTGGTGTCGGGATTAGTGTCGGGGGGTAGGGTTGGGATTAGTGTCGGGATTAGTGTCGGGGGGTAGTGTCGGGATTAGTGTCAGGGGTAGTAGTATCGGGATTGGTGTCGGGATTAGTGTTGGGGGGGGTAGTGTCGGGATTGGTGTCGGGATTAGTGTCGGGGGGTAGGGTTGGGATTAGTGTCGGGATTAGTGTCGGGGGGTAAGGTTGGGATTAGTGTCGGGATTAGTGTCGGGGGGTAGGGTTGGGATTAGTGCCGGGATTAGTGTCAGGGGTAGTAGTATCGGGATTGGTGTCGGGATTAGTGTTGGGGGGTAGTGTCGGGATTTGTGTCGGGATTAGTGTTGGGGGGTAGTGTCGGGATTAGTGTCGGGGGGTAGTGTCGGGATTGGTGTCGGGATTAGTGTCGGGGGGTAGGGTTGGGATTAGTGTCGGGATTAGTGTCGGGGGGTAGGGTTGGGATTAGTGCCGGGATTAGTGTCAGGGGTAGTAGTATCGGGATTGGTGTCGGGATTAGTGTTGGGGGGTAGTGTCGGGATTGGTGTGGGGGGGTAATGTGGTGTCAGTCTGACCCTTTCTGAATCTTGGATTACACTAATACAGACCCGCAATCCCTCATTCTATATCATTCCCATGGACATGAAGTCATACTGGGAGTACAGACTCCGCCCACTGACCAGCAGACCTGATGGGAGATTATTACAGACATGTCATGGTCATGTGACCAATCCTGGCTCAGTCATTGGTCCAGACCTTTGCCGTCTGTACAATCCAATCTCTGTATAGTGAAGAGCCGGGCGGACCGGAGACTAACCCCCGACATGTGGGATCCCGGGGGGGGGGGGGGGGGGGGGGGGGGGGATTGTCCTGTTGCTGCGCCCCCTAGGGGTCAGAGGCGGGATATTATTATTATACAGGATTTATATAGCGGCAGAAGGTGTGCTCAGCGCTGTACATTATAGGGGGGACAGAACATGTGACAATACAGGAACAATACAATACACGAGGGGTGCGAGGGCCCTGATCCTGGGAGCTTACAATCTAGGAGGGAGGGGCTGATCCTGGGAGTTTACAATCTAAGAGGGAGGGCCCTGATCCTGGGAGTTTACAATCTAGGAGGGAGGCCCTGATCCTGGGAGCTTACAATCTAAGAGGGAGGGCCCTGATCCTGGGAGCTTACAATCTAAGAGGGAGGGGCTGATCCTGGGAGTTTACAATCTAGGAGGGAGGGGCTGATCCTTGGAGTTTACAATCTAAGAGGAAGGGGCTGATCCTGGGAGCTTACAATCTAAGAGGGAGGGGCTGATCCTGGGAGCTTACAATCTAAGAGGGAGGGCCTGATCCTGGGAGCTTACAATCTAAGAGGGAGGGGCTGATCCTGGGAGCTTACAATCTAGGAGGGAGGGGCTGATCCTGGGAGTTTACAATCTAGTAGGGAGGGCCCTGATCCTTGGAGTTTACAATCTAGGAGGGAGGAGCTGATCCTGGGAGTTTACAATCTAGGAGGGAGGAGCTGATCCTGGGAGCTTACAATCTAGGAGGGGGGGCCCTGATCCTGGGAGCTTACAATCTAGGAGGGAGGGGCTGATCCTGGGAGCTTACAATCTAGGAGGGAGGGGCTGATCCTGGGAGTTTACAATCTAGGAGGGAGGGGCTGATCCTGGGAGCTTACAATCTAGGAGGGAGGGCCTGATCCTTGGAGCTTACAATCTAGGAGGGAGGAACTGATCCTTGGAGCTTACAATCTAGGAGGGAGGGGCTGATCCTGGGAGCTTACAATCTAGGAGGGAGGGGCTGATCCTGGGATCTTACAATCTAGGAGGGAGGGGCTGATCCTGGGAGCTTACAATCTAGGAGGGAGGGCCTGATCCTTGGAGCTTACAATCTAGGAGGGAGGAGCTGATCCTGGGAGTTTACAATCTAGGAGGGAGGAGCTGATCCTGGGAGCTTACAAACTAGGAGGGAGGGCCCTGATCCTGGGAGTTTACAATCTAGGAGGGGGGGCCCTGATCCTGGGAGCTTACAATCTAGGAGGGAGGGGCTGATCCTGGGAGTTTACAATCTAAGAGGGAGGGCCCTGATCCTGGGAGCTTACAATCTAGGAGGGAGGGGCTGATCCTGGGAGTTTACAATCTAAGAGGGAGGGCCCTGATCCTGGGAGCTTACAATCTAGGAGGGAGGGGCTGATCCTGGGAGTTTACAATCTAAGAGGGAGGGCCCTGATCCTGGGAGCTTACAATCTAGGAGGGAGGCCCTGATCCTGGGAGCTTACAATCTAAGAGGGAGGGCCCTGATCCTGGGAGCTTACAATCTAAGAGGGAGGGGCTGATCCTGGGAGTTTACAATCTAGGAGGGAGGGGCTGATC